CGTCACACCGGATCTTCAGGGTGAGCTAACGCTTCTAGCTTGGACTGGATCTTCTCCTTCATGTCTTGATGCCTTGAACTTCCGGCATGGACTAGCTGCTTATGTATTTTTAGCTTCTTAGAAACTCTTAGAATTAGTAGTTTAAAGTACATGTTCTTGTGATGATGACTTCCAGGTTTTGGGAATAATTGATACTTATTGAATCGGTTTTTATTAATGAGTTTAAGTCTTCCGCATTACTTTCTGTTTATATTATATTGAAATGTTAAGGTTTAGATTGGTTGGTTCGCTCACATAGGAGGGTAAGTGTGGGTGCCAGTCGCGGCCCGGATTTGGGTCGTGACATAAAGGTAAGTCATTTTCCTTAAATTTCTAGAAAATGAATTAATTTGAAAAATGTTTTCCAAATGATTTTACCAAACTAAACATGTGAAGATTGAAACATGTTTTCCTCCTTACGAAACACACCCTATATGTTCCACCATGATGAGGAAATAGAAACCAAGAGAATCGTTCATGTTAGATTGTTCTTTTTATAAATCTAAATCAAAGGACTTCAGTTTTCTTCACCATTTTATTTATTTATGGAGAACTTATATGTTATATTTGGATGGAACTTTAGTAATTTTTTTACTTGGTGACCGTTTCTGAATATTTTTGGCAGCAAACGTATTTCTTTCTAAGCATATTCAGAAAATTTACACATTAAGTTTGATCATTTCCTGCTACAGTTCATCTAATTAAGTTGGAAAATTACTATTCTCTTAGCTTCTCATATCATATGTATATTTGATCAAAGATAACTGCCTCTTATGCATGTATATGGTTGACTTTATCCAATACTTTGAATTTTCTTTACTTCATTTCATCTTTTTGAACAAACCAATTTTCAAGCTGGCAACGGTCATACTGATCTAGTAGTATACGTAGGATAAATTACTAAAATGCACGTCTTATGTTTTTTTTATTTTCAATATTTCCTTTTATTTTTAAAATCTTCTAAAATCTCTTATTTCTTTAATGCATCTGAGCTACGTATTAATGTATCCGAGTCAATATTTAATTTATCCGAACTACATATTATATATCTGATTTATTCTATAACGTATTCGAGCTTGTTTTTAATGTATCTGAGTTACATATTATGTATACGGTTTATATTATAATGTATTCAGATACTCTTTAATATCTCTGAGTTATATATTATGTATCCGATTTATATTATTTTTTAAGAATTAATGTAATTACAAACTAAAAAGTGATAGATTGTAATTTGATATTATACCTACATGATTCCTAACAACAAGTCACCCATAAATTTCTATAAATGACTTGATTTAGATTTTATCCAAAAAAATCATCACCCTCCCCCCTTATTTTAACCTAATAATTATTTTAGTTTTCCATAATTAAAAATAATTATACACATGAAGTGTCACTTGATATTCTTTTAAAATAAAAGTAGAGAGTATACACCACGCACCTTAGCTGCTCAAATAAATGTGTTATAAAAAGTAAATAATTACATAATTATAATGAAATTTGTGAGGGGAAATGACAATTCATAAGTATTTTTTTGTCAGTATGTCTTATGGGGCTTGCAAGTACACATTCATATGTTCTTCTCCTTCCATTGACTTCCCAAATGGTTGAAATAAATCATCCCGTTCATATTAATTATTTAATTAATCTTGTTCAATACATTTACATTAAAAAAAGTAAATTTAATTTTTGTGAGCAAACAACTCCACTTGTGCAAATATGCAAAAACCAAATTGCGAACCAAAATACTCCAAACTAAGATTTCCATACATATATATATATACTAATCGTGTATTAAATTTACAGTAATTGTACATTTCATTATCCTTTATCAAATTGTAAGATTTAAAAAATTATGATACAGTCCTTGCTGTCGATAGACGTTAATTATAGCAGCAAATTCTTAAATATGATTCAGATAAAGAAGAACAATTTTGTATCACCCAAATAAATAGCTTTGAATCTTAACTTATTATAAAACCAACTATTTACAAAATAAAATGAACAGTACTTAAAGTTGAATGAAAATCTTTCATTACTGTACAATATTTTTCCTGCTCCTTTCTTTGATTCCCAATGGGATGACTCAGATCAACTCTTGCATGAGAAATTATGATTGTTTTGGAAGTGTCTTTGCACATTTTTCAAGGTCAATAGCTCCAACTTTCATCTTTTCAAAACATATCTTTTTTGTTACCTGATTTGGATCAATAACTGAATGGTCAATCGCCATCGTCCTATTTTGCTAAGCAAAATACTATTTCACCCTTCTTAGCCACGGTAACTTTTACCCGACATAACAAAAGGTTATTCAAATATAATTTTTTTCACCTTATTCTGGTATTACACTCAACTTCGCCGTCTTTTTTCCTCTTCTTCTCCCACTATCACCGTCATCGCCGTTCCTTGTCACTCTATCACAATTCTTTTGTTGAGAAAATACAAACAATTTATTACTACTACTAGTTCTCTTTAATGCAGAACTCGCCTTCACAGCTAATGCTGCCATTTCTTCAGCCCCAAGTCTACTCTTTAGCCTCTTCAAAGGCATAGCGAAATACAATTGACCCAATTGAAGTTCTTCTTCTGCATTTATGGCGGAAATCTTATCTCCAAATTCCATTTCATCGGAGTTACAGATGAAAATAGTTGGATCTTTTTGTAAGAGATACCAAGCTTTTATTGGATAAGAAAACTCTTGTAATCTTCCGTCTTGTAGTATTATTTTCGCGGTCGCAACAGATGTGGATTCACAAGAATTGCATATACCCATTTTCAATTTACTATCGCTAAAAATTGTATAATTTGATTAGTTGATTTGTCTTATTATATAGTATAGGATGAATTTAATTTTATGAGAAGAATAAAAGGGATAGAGTTTAAAGTAGGAGAGAAGCAAGAAGGGGAGTGAGTATAAATAGTTTTGAGTAAAGTAGTACTAAAAAGCCACCGCAATTATGTACGTAACAATGGGACAAAATAATAATCAATTACTGAATTTTATAGTGATTATTTTATTATAATATTTAGGTTATTTTATTATAATATTTAGGTTGATTGATTCTTAAATTTTTTAATGATATGTCTAGAATTAAAAACTCCTTTTAATATATTTTTAATTTTAACTCCTTTTTTTTAATTTTTTTGGGTCAATTAAAAAAGTCAAATAAATAAATTTAAACAAAGAAAATAATAATTTAACAGGGTGACGATGTCTTCTTAGACATACTATTGAACTATTTTGTTAGTTTATTTTAACTTTTCCATTTTCCATTTTACATGTTCCTTAAATAGCGATAACATATTGACAAAAGTATTTTATTATAATATTTAATCATAAATTTGAAAAATATCTAATTATCCGAATACAAATTATCTTGTATGTACTATTAATGAGATTTTACTTGACGTTAATTTTTTTTGTAATTGGTATTAATGGGCAGCGCCTTGCCAACCTGTAATATAATTAGTGTCAGGCTGTATAGTGTGTTAGTTTCAAGAAAACAACATTTAAAAATATTTCTTTTAAGTATTTTAATTTGTTAAATTTGGTGTCAAGTTAAAATTAAATTAATAAATTAAAATAGACTGAAATATACTATAATAATTGATTCACAATCAAATATTTCTATAAATTTAGTAATATATATTGAATTAAGTCCGCCCTTGGTTTTCTATATGTTTTGTCAGTTTTTGTTTTCAAGTCCCTTTAAGAACGAATGACATTTTTATATTTAAAAGTTGTATATCTAAAGTACTTCGTGGCTACAAATGTGACAATCAATCTATTGTTTATTTGAAGCACAAGATTCCAAATGGTAATTCCCCAAAATGGGGATTCCAGATTCCAATTATTTCAACTAACATGAATCCATTAGTAAGCTTTTTCAGCTACTATCTAGAAATAGTAGCTAGAAATATTTAAAGGTTAATAACATAAGATTAAAGTAAGCATTTGAAAAACTCAATTAAGATAAAAATAGTCGGAGGCATATCTAAGATTTTAAGATGATAGATGTGCTATTAGAGAAAAATGTTGATGTAAGCTATAGATTTGGTTAATTTAACATTTAGGTTCTTATGATTGAAAATCATTAAAATTTTAAAATTATAGGTCCAAAATTATTTTTTATCTATCCAAACAACTTAGCATCACACAATTTTAGAAAGAAATAAAACAAGATACATAAAAAATTTAAATTTCTAACCTCACTTAGAGAAGTGCAATCAGTCATTATCGCACAACATTACATGATACTTTCAAGTGTCAGTTAACACATCTATATATAAATATTTTTAAAAAAATATCATACTACTATATATGATTTCAGGAGGGGAGCATGGGTTCACGTGAATCCTTGACCACCTCATGGATACACCTCTATTAATATTGACAAATATAAATGATTTTCACTATATTTAGAAAGGTAAAAATTGTCAATCCACGAATTAATTTATGTTTCGATTCAGAAAAAAGGTTTGGACGTGGAGAGAGTATTATTGAAGAGAAATTTATTACTTACATTAGTAAGAGATAATATTTTTTAAGTTATGATACGACTTGGACAGTTTTCCTTCATTTGAGAAGACTATTTTAGAGTGTAAATAAAGCTAAAGACCTTAATAAGTTTGACAGTTTGACATAGAAGTTGCTATTTTATTTCATGCATTCAACTAACATTCAACCAAAAAAAAAATCTCCTAATTTCATATTAAAATTAATCAGAAGATTCGTTAAAAAAAATACCAATTTTCATGCATGTATCTACAAATTTATCGACATGCATGCATCTAGTCTTCGATGTGTACAAGGAGACAAATGAAGAGAAGTACAATTCAAGACTTGATAAGTCAGCTCCATTTTCTAATTATTGTTGCTTAAAGTTAAGCGATTGAATATTCATGTTATTCTTTCTTGCTTTTTGCTTGTTAATATATTTTGTTACTTTTTAATAATAATAAGAACTTCTCTTTCGACAATATATGAAAGTGTGCAAATCAATTTAATATAAAGGTGGACAAAATTGATAATAATTAATAAGTTTGATAATTACTATTTCCAAATCCTAATATATTTGGTTTTAACATAAAATTAATGTACATAAAGTATGTGATTGGAACTTTTGGATCTATTATCCAAAACTCACAAGGTCTGTCACTTAAATTTTAAACCTTGGGGTCTTTCTCCGACACAGAGAGACGAATTTAAGTTTTTATATGTAACTAATTTAATTTTTAAATGTTTATTGAGTTTATTATATTTTTAAAATTATAAATTAGTATTAAATTATTTTTAACTTTTAAGAATTAATTTATTTAAATCAATCAATAAATAAAATAATTAGCTAAATTAATCTAAAAGATGTAGTCAATAATCAATCAAACTGCAGCAAACACATACAATCCGCCCTACATCAAATTCTACGATAAACTACTTCAAAATTAAATGAAAAAGACATACACAAGTAATAAATTACTCTCTTTGTTTAGAAAAGAATAATTTACTTTTTTGTTATTTTGTTTTAAAAAAATTGATTTTTTTTAACATTTTAATTTCAATTTTTCATATGGCATATTTAAGGATCATAAGATCAAAAGACATTTAAATACATTTGACATAACTTTAATTTAATATCACAAAATTAAAAAATTATTATTTATTTTTTCAAACTCCGTATCAAGTTAAATTAATTTATCATTTCTGAAATACGGAGAGAGTAAAATTATATCCCGCACTATTTCAAAGTTCACATCCATTCACAAAACACATAATAATTCTTTTTTTTTAAAAAAAAAAAACTTAGAATGAATATTTCAATATTCAATAAAATTGTGTAATGAGATTTCCTTCTTCTGATAGATTATGTGGCTAGATCAGTCTAAGACTAGGGATCGAGTTGGCAACTTCAACTTTTAATCATATTTTGACTTTCTTCAATAGTGAGAACCACACATAGTCAGACAAGGAGTCCAGTACACTTTTTTAACCCTAATTGTCAAAATTAAAGAGACATTTTCCAAAAACATACATCAAAACGGGTAGTTCTTTCATTTATGAGCGGACTATAACTATATGCATCTTTTAACATCATCCCGTTAATTTTAATCCCGTCCAAAATAATATTACACAAACTCTAAAGGTAGTGGGTGAACTACAATTCTTTTCATTTACTCCTCACACGAATCTATATATTTTCTACCTCACATGAAGCTATAACTCTAAAGTGAGTTCGCCACACATGGGCGAACTACTATTCTTTTCATTTACTCCTCACACGAATCTATATATTTTCTTCCTCATATGAAGTTATATCTCTTTCTTTAACAATTAATATGGGTTATTCACTCTATATTTTTCATTGGTCTTCTACTTCTTTATACTTTTTATTTTGATTCTTGAAATTTGGTAGCCATAGGGGCTGGAAAGGGACGATTTCACCATAAAATCTTTATCAAATATTAAGGTATGGGATCTATCGCCTTTGAGACCTTTTCCTCAAAGGGGTTCCTTCAAAATGGATTTCTAAAGTTGAGTTTTCACGTGGGGTTCATCCAATTACGAAATTGATGTTGTGAACTGAGTGATTTATGTTATCTTTAGGGTATAATGGATAGATTAACATGTATTTTAACTTGATATGGTAATTGGTGATTGTTTGATCTAGATTGAAGAACATGATCCTCAACCTCGAACCCTAGGTTGTGATCTTGATCAATATTGTATTATGATCATTCAATTGACTTGGTTATTGATTAGATTACAATCCTATGGTGTTATTATGAATAAATTAAGATGAATTATAGGTCTATCATGCTAGTTCTTGAGATGTGATATAGGTTATGAAGTATGTTGTGAAATTGGCCTACGTATCTTGTCTTAAGCTATGATTTAGTGTTGAATTGTGTTATACAGATGCAATTGGTATTCTTATCTTATTGGTTATCATTGTGTGATGATGTTACTCCCCTAATTGGGTTGAGTTATGGGTTGATGGTAAGACCTTGGTCATGAATTCTAAAGGAGACTTGGTAAGTCTTATGATCTCTATCTTTACTTTTAATTGTGATTAATTGTGGTTAAGTCGTGATGCTATATTGGAGTATGCATTGTATTAGGATTGATAGGATGGTATAATGTTAAAATGAAATATCTTGACTATGTTGTGAGGTTGGTTAAGGTGTATGTGTTATATGGATGGTGATGACTATCAATGTGCATTATTATGATATGAAATTCTAATGTGTTAACCTCATTTATATGAATTGTAATGAAAGGACTTGTACTCATACAATTCTTATTGAGTTGTTGATGATGATGATTATACAAGGGGTAGACCCTAGGACCTAAACTAAGCTATGATTGATAATTAAAGGCTTAAAGACATTTAAAAAAGGGATTCTAGCTTAGCAGCGAGTGAAGTAGATTGAGGAGTGTCCCTTCCCACATAGGGAAGGTAGGAGCACTAAAGTAATCTTGATATTGGAGACTACAATGCATGGAGCATAAAGAGGGTCGCAACTATATCTCCTAGTTCTTGAATTATATTGCCCCTATAGGAATACTAGCTAGTGGATCTATGTAGTTTCTATATTTTATATTTTGGTACTACATTGGCAAGTAGTCAGCCTTCTTTCGGTGTAGGGTTTCATGACACCGATTCCACACTAGATCATGTGGTCTATGTCGGTTAGGGCAAGATTTTCCCAAAAGGTAAAATGAATTAAAGGATTTGAACTCTAACTAGGATAACCTAAGGGGTCTAGCTTAGTCTAGATAGGGGTATTGGACTCTACCTAAGCATTGTACTAGTTAGCCTTGAGGGGAGTCTTAGGAGGATGTTCTTGTATATGTTTACGTTATGATGATATATGATATGTACATGATGAACTTGCACATTGTTAATACTATATGTTGATTAG